TTGTATTCTTCATTTTTGTGTGCTGAATCCAACCGTATAAAGAACGTGAAATTTGGATAAACGGTTGGAAAGTTATAGGCAAAACATTGGACAGAGGTCGAAACTGGAAAAACAGAGAAACGAATCTGCCCAAAAACGACCGGTCATTACTGTTCAAGCGACCGGTCTCACATGAATCTGCCCAAAAACGACCGGCTGTCACTGTTCATGACCGGTCGGCACTGTTCACGGCACTGTTCACAGGTGATAAATAGGTGATAAAAGGGTGATAGAAAGTGCTGTTTATGTTTTTCTTTGGTTTCTTGTGTTGTTTCATTTCTTTTACATTTCTTTACTCATTTTTAGTTTCCAATTTGCATTTGTGCATTTGTGGTCTGTCAAATAAGCGTTCTTTACGTACTCAAATTAGAACTTATAGGAAGCCGACAAGTTCTTCGTGGGATCGACCCCGTACTTACATAATCTATACTTCATTAGATTCGTGCACTTGCGGGTATTTTTAATTGTTTGTTTGCACATTAATTTGTGTCATTTTAGGAATGCAACAACACCCTAATAGACGATGCAGATTCCAATGCAAATCCTGAGGAATGAGAAGTTTCACCGGAGGACTAGATTAGTGTTGTTAGTTACTGTTTGTAAAATTATTAAAGAATAAATTGTTGGAATATTACTTTAGTGTGTGTACCTAACTTTGAGCTACTGCAACTCTGACTTTGTATTTATTAAATAAGTTTGTAATATTTTTGGCTCTATTTCTATCATATCATGGTTATATGAGTTTGTTTCTATAACTATGGTATGATTCATGCCTTAATTCGGAGATAATCCCTATTTTTGAATCGGGAAGTGACACCACCCCATGCCCAATAGTGTGTTGTGATGTCATTTAGCTCCACGTCTTGCGACGCGATGTCTTCAATAGTCTAACAATGGGGTACTGGATATAGTGCATTATACGACTTAGAAGAGGACTAAGGAGAGTTGCTTGGTTAGTGCATTGAAGATTACAAGTCCCCAACCAAGAAGTACCTCTTTACTTGAGAACTTGGAGGAACTCTTGTTTATACCATATTTGACCAAGCAACTAGAAGCAACCCTAAAATTGACCATGAAGTACCTCTTTCAACTCTCCCACTAATTTTTTCTTCATTAGTATGAAGACTGTTGCAGCATCAAGAAAATACAGTCTGTCATATGCGAACACAACCACTTCTACAAAATTGAACATAAAGCAAAATAGAACAAATAAATATTTATGGCCTATTGTTCATCATTAAGCACAAATGAGTCATATTTGTACTGTTTTCAAGAAAGCCACACTATAATCGTGTCAGATTGTGCTCTTATACTTATTTTATTTGTGCCTTTGTTAGAGCAAGCTAATAATTTATGCAGTGCATTTAGTTTTGTTTTTCTGAGAAGATCAATATTCTGAGGCATAATTCTTTCTTTCACGTAGGTTTCAAACAAATTCCCAAAATCATTATAGTGTCCAGCAATTTGACACGTGATGGCTTCTATATCAGTTCCCATCCTAGTCCCAAAAAACCATTACAGTGTCCAACAAACAAACCAATTCAATCAAAATGACCAGCAGGTCTTGTTAGAAACTGAATAATCCAAACATCAGATAACAAATACAGGAGAAGCAAAAATAGAACCAGGTCAAAGCTTTAGCAAAAATAATCCATAAAAGACTAACACAGTACCATAATTTCCATCTCACTTTCGGAAGAATTAAGCCAAAATTATAATAAATATAAAATTAAAATAAGTTCAACAAAGACAAATTCAAATGTCTCAAACTAAGTTATAGGAAATAGGAAATTTTTTATTCTAGGTGGTGGCTATCCAAGGTTTTTATTAATAACATTTATGAGAAACCTTGTTATGCATATTTCCTCCTTCTTCAAGCTGCATATATGCATGGCTTCTATTTCGAGCTTCATGGCATTTATTTCTTCTTGTTTTGGTTGATTCATAATAGTCCAATGGGTTCATAATCCTCGCACTCACTGAGTCATAAGAATGAGAAACCTTGTTATAAACAAAATGCACCAGAATTCCTAGGTACAAATTAAATGTTATTGATAAAAACACAAGAAACGTGAAGGAAACTTACGGTGTGAAGCAAAAAACCAGATTGAACCATTCAGAGCCCTTGATATCCACAGAATGAACAAATGAGTCTATAGTCTTGATCATATGTTTTCCTCCTTTTCCAAGAACAATTTCAAACGTGGTGATACTAAGATATTGAACCTTGGGATGTGAATCACACCAGCCAGTCTGGACATAGAAAAAGTCATGGTTTCTCAAATGAACCAAATAGTGTGTCATCTCGTTAAGCCATGGCAGCAGCGGACGCGCGATATCAAGACCTTGCACTATAAACAGTTGCCTTAGGGAATATGAAATACCATTAACATCACATGGTTCCCCTATAAAGGAGAATGCTTTAATCTTTGCATCCCCATATAAGGCATAGATAGTCTCGTTTACGACCATGGCCCTCCCTTCGAAAAGAGGAGCACCATGAGCAGAAGTGTCAATTTTCACTCTATTCCAGTCCCTTCTACCCACGTGAAAAGCAACGAAACTGAAACTCTCGTCCCTCAAGCCAGATAATGAAAATAAAATAACTCCATAACAAACGGCATAACCAGTCATTTGCATAGTGAGGTCATAATCATCATAAAATGGAAAAGAAGTCATTTGTTCCCAAACCTTATGATCGGGATTATATCTCCCGAAGGAGTGTCCCGTAACTGGTGAGAAGTATGACGAACATGCAAAATAATAAACCTTGCCATACGCACACACAATAGTTTCTAGTAAGTTAGAGGATGGGATAGGAGGAATAGATGAACATTTTGACCAACTCCTCGTGTCAACAATAAATCCACCATCTTTTCCAATGCAGTATAATTTGGAGTGGTTGAAAATCCGTGCAGCGTCAAGGCAACCCTTGCGGAACTTGGCAACTTGTCTAACTACTGGGGGTTCATGAGTGACTTCTCCTCTGTGTTTGAATTTCACTTCATAGACTGTATTAGTGCATTCTCTGTCCTCACAAGAAGACACGAATAAACATACAGATCTAGCTTCCTCTTGATTTACCATCATTGATGTTTGCTCCCAATCCTCGGGCAAGCTGAGAGAAGAGAGATGTATAGAACAAGTCAAGTTAATCATTTTTCAAAGATCTAACCTGCCTAGAGAGAATATATCTAGTAGAATTTTTTTTCTTGGGTCAAAATATCTAGTAGAAACTGGTTATTATTGTTGTAAAATTGGCTCACATTTAGTATGCAAGTGAAGGAAGAGGCGACCGGTCGCTGGGTATTTGCGACCGGTCGTTTTGAAGCAGATTCGAAGTCTGGAGGAGAAACTGGAAATCGTGACCAGCGACCGGTCGCAAAGTGCAAGCGACCGGTCGCTTTCAGACAGATTGCAATGCGACCGGTCGCCAGGAACGTGCGACCGATCGCCAGACGTGCTGTGTCGTTTTTCCATGCGTTTTTCAAGGTGCATTTCACATGTGTTGGTTCCCTACCTAATCCCTCGAGCTTCCAAGAGTTTTATGGGTTCTAGGAAGTTTGGCAACATGCCTTAGAAGCTGGAACACCATTTAAATGTTGTTTGTTGTCTTGTACCAAAGGGTTTTCTAGGTGGGAGACAAGGGGACAAAGGGTGCATGCTTTATGGCTTGTTTTCTGGTTTGCCTAACCTTGTGTTGAGTTGAGTCTTGAGAGTTTAGACACCAAAAGGGGGAAACACCAAGGGTTGTGAGAGTGTTCACAAGTGTATCAAAGTGTTGAGCAAGGGGTGAGAGAGAAAAGAGAGCTTGGGAGAGAATAGAGTTCTAAGGGGGTTTTCTTTGTAAACCAAAGTTGCAACTTATTCTTTCATTAGTGAATTTCTCAAGGGGATCACCAAGAGGATGTAGGCAATTGCTGAACCTCTATAAATTCTTGTGTCACTTTGTGCTTGGTTGGTTTCTCAAGTGTGTGTGTGTGATTCATCCATTATTTTGTTTGTCACAAAGTCCATCAACAACAAGATCATTAGGGGAGTGAGTGAAAGTGTTTGTCCATTTTCACAACAATTATATATTTCAAGCAAATTATTCAAAATGCATGCAGCAGGGAGAGAAACTTAAACAAAAAACAAAAAAAAAACAACAACAACAATGAGAATTCAGAACTGACCTTGGGTAAAAATCATCAGCCTCATGGTCAGAATTGCATTCGTCAAACACCGCGGAAGGTGGAAGCGGCGTGGTTGTAGTTATGGCTGGCCTGGGGCCTAGTAAGCCAAATTCTTGCGTTATTGATTTCGACCAATCCAACAGTTGCCCCAGAGTTTTATCGATCTGCGATATCTTGCCCAGTAGCTCATCTTGGCGTGAAAAAGCCATTTGACCCGAGGTATGCTCATCAACGACGGCCACGGAAAATTGAGATATTTCCCCCATGATATGTCCTTTGCTATTGGAATGCTTAAATTGAGGCAAAAGAGAATTTAGGGTTTGGGGAATGCCGCGGCAGAAGGGGTTTTGGGTATGCCGAATGCAAAGTATGTATTTATATAATCACCTAATTAATCTTGCCCTGAAACAGGAAACTAATCCTAAACCTACTAGAAATTCTCCAGAAGAGGCAAGGAAATTAATCTTTCCTGAACTGAAATAGGACATTTATTAGTACGTAATTTTCTATTTTATTTTTATTTTTTGGAAGGAACAAACAGACCTCTCTATTTATTTTTTTGGAAGGAAGAAACGGGAAATATGAAGCTGTATGTTTGTTACCCCTTTTTATGATTTTTCGGTTTGTTACTCTTTTTTATGAGATTGGGTTTCAGGGCCAATTTAAGTAAGTGGTTTAGTTCAAAGCCATATATAATGTACCATCTTCTCTCCCTCCCTCCTCTTGGATTTCTCTTTCACTCAGTATCTTTTTTTTTTGCTTCTCACTCCGGTTAATCAAAGGTGCCGTTGAAGGACTACTCATTATATCGTACGTTTTTGCTTCATCGTCAACGACAATCAAAGGTTACCTATTATGTTTTCTCAGTTATAACATAGTTTTACCTATTATGCTTTCTCCATATATGGTACGTTCTTGTTATTGCACCTGTTATGAGCATTGAAATCAAATAATCTAATAATTTTGAATCTTAAATTTTCAGGAAATGGAGGTTGATCATGATTTAATTGACTACGATTACATCGATTACATTAAAAAACAATGGAGCGACAATAATTTAAAATACATTGTAATGGGTTCTTGTATTAGCTTTTACAATTTTCGTGTTGATTATGCTAGCGAGAAACAACATTATGATGGTGAGCTGTTCTTGGAGGAAAATAATCAAGGTGGAATGCCCGTGACATTTATGAATATGGATGCTGCTAGAACTAAATTGAGTGTCGGAGAAATTTTTAGGTTGAACGTTAAAGTATCTAATGAAAGGATTCTCCGCCCATGGATGTATACGTTTTGCAAACAGAAGAAATCATTGGGTGATGTATGCAGCGCCAGTGAGGCTGAAAAGAATATGGTGAAGGGATGGTGGGGCTTGTGTTCTGATAAGTTTGATAACACACTCCATGAATGGTTGGTCAAATTACAAGACAACGACATTAGTGATTGCGAAAAGTTAAACTCCCAAGTTCGAAATAATTGCTTATCTGATTTCTGGCGGAATACAATACGGTGAGCGTAATAGTATTTTTGTTCTAGTGCTATTATCTTATGGTTTAGTTAACTAATGTATTTCACGATTTGACAGGGAATTAATAGAGGCAATTGCTCACATTCATGATTGTGGACTGTTCCATGGTTCGTTGAACGAATATGATAATTATGTTGTTGTTGGAGACCAACTGAAACTATTTAACATCAGTGGTTGCTTGGAGGGCCTTGGAGTACAAGATCAACATTCAAGGAAAATCCAAGATTTCCAAGAGTTCAGGGACACTCTGAAGAAGCTGCTGGAACCTAGTACTAAATGGCTTGAGCGTGATAGATTTCTTGATTGTTTTGACGCAGCTTCAGTGTTCAGGTGTGAGTTCTTTTGAACGTTATTTTTTTGGTGAAATATTTGTTCTTATTTGTTTGTTTATGAGTGTTTTTTTTTTGTCTTTTCAGCTATAAAAAATATGTTGAGAAATTGAAGAAGCACCCCTTTTTATTGACTCCTCATGAAAGGGTAAAAAATGTTACAAGTGTTTATCATGACAATATATTTCATATAGACAGGAAGATGAACAGGGGGAGTACGTTTCAAGCGTTCTTTAGTTGGGACACAGACAGAAAAAAGTGGGAGAAGTTTTTGTCTGATATATATGAGTCTAAACTGAGTAAATCATATGATTATGATTATCGCCCGTTGGATCTTTTAAGGTTTATGCGAAACACCTATGAACATTATAGGAAACATGGTAACAGAACGATCGAGGACGTGGACAATATTCTGAGGACACGCTGGGATGGGTTTTTTGATCTGGTTCATCTGATTTAAGATTGGAGGTGAATGAGGCATGTTGTTCGTGATCATAGCTTTTAAGTACTTTCTTAGACTATTACGACTAACTTCAATTTGTACAAGATTTTTTTAATGCTTGTGGTTGTTGTTCTTGTTTTTTTTTTTTTTTTTCTCCTTTTGGTCTTAGACTGTTACAACAATCATTAATATATATACAAATTTTCTACTATGCTGACGTCCAAACATTATTACCGTGCACAGGGGCGGAGCCACACTGGGACCAGTGTGGTCATGGGCCCCTACTCAATTTTTATATATTTTAAAAGTAATATACTGGACTGTTATGTATTTCTATATGTATATTATTTCAAATACTTTACGTTTTGATATGTACCCACATGTGTTGTGGCGGACTTAAGGCACAAGGAGGTGCTTCAAATTGCCCCTTTGCTTAGTTGGTAGTGGTGCACTCCAGGTGTACAAATGATCTTATTTCCATTTACTTAAGTTTACAATGTAAATAAGGAAGTACCCCTTATTTGGATTCAAATAAAAATAATAGAAAATCAAATTCCCACCAAATCAAAATATGAAAAATCGGTTTTAGTGCAAAATACGATTTAGGCTAAAAATGATGGCTCATTAAGTCAATATATACTTCATACTAAAATCCCATAAAATCAAGTTTTCTTATTTGATGTGTAAGGAATAAAAGCCGCCAAAAATTATCTTGAGAAAATAATTATTCTGAAAAATCATTTTTCATACTTAGTCAATATTTTTTCATAAAACATTTCATGTATGATATGAATGCATGAAGGGACCTAAGACGTTTTTGCTAAATCGCTACTCTTTGTCTATCTTTTGTAATTTTTCTTACTCAGAATGTATTTGTCTATCCTTTTGTTGAGGACAATTATGATTGCAACCAATAAGCAATATAATTCTTGACATATGTGATATATATATACTATTTTTCATATGTATTGTGAGTTCGAATTTTTTATTCTTTATAATTTATAAGAGGCCCCCACACACATAAAATCCTGGCTTCGCCACTGACCATGTGGATGCCATGTATTTTCTACGTACGGACATCTGGATGTGAGAATAACTATATTTCACTAATCCAAATATTCTATTTTATAGATATTCATTGAAAGATCATCTCTATAAAAAAATTCGTAGGACAACCTCTCAAATAAAATTATTTAAAGTATCCCTCAATAGAATTTATATATATATATACATGGGGAAGGGAGGGTCACATATCACTGTGGTGGTAAATCCCACATTGGCTAAATAATCTTGTTTGCTTGCTTATTATAAAAGCCCAAATTTTATTATAAAACCCAAATACGTGCTTAAACTAAAAAGAACCAAACTTGGGGACTCGTTTACAGTTAAAGAGTCATGTTAAGCCAAAATTATATAAAGTATCCCTCAATAGAATATATATATATATATATATATATATAGGGAGCTTCAGTTGAGAGACCCCTTGTATTTCACTAATCCAAACCATCTATTTTATAGATACTCATTCAAAGATCATCTCTACAAAAAATCACTTGAATCCGATATCATTTGACCACTCAATTGAATTATTGAAATTTTAGTACCTTCTTAAAGCACCGTGTTCATTGATTTTGTAGGACACAATTGGATATCGAAACGGTTTCTGATTTGTCTAATTTTTTGCAAGGATCTATGAATGTAGACTAAAAAAATAGATGGTTTGGATTGTTGAAAAAAATTCGTAGGGGACCCTAAAGGGTGTCCCTCAATGGAAGGGGACTATGTATATATATAATATGTTTTAAAAATAAGGCTAAATTATTGAAATGCCTCTTGTAACTCAATTTCAGTCTTAGTTTTCCCCCTAAAACTCTAAAAGCATCTCCAAGGGAGATGTCAAATACCAAACATCAAATTTAAATTTGATGGCTGATGTGGCAATTTGACATCTTACACAGCTTTACACTCCACCCGATATGTCAAATTAAATTATTATTTTATTACATTTTAGTGTTAATTTATTTTTAATTAAAAAGAATAGAAAAGAATAAATAATAAAATATTCATTTGACATCTTGCTTTTGGGATGTCAAAAATAACATCTCAATCTTCAACCTTCATTCCATATCAGCTTTGACACATCGGTTGGAGTGGTGTGAGATGTTATTTCTAATTGTTAAATGTCTATGTGGCACTTTTAACATATCGGTTGGAGATGCTCTAAGTGTCTCACTTTCCCCTATGAAACTCCATATAGTGTCTCACTTTGGCTGGATTCCATCCAGCCCTAACAGAAGTCGTCAAACTTGCACACGTGACGCCCATGTGCCATTTTTCTGGGTTCTTCTGTCCCTATAGGCGTTGAAGTGGCAAAAAGGCAGGACCCACAATAGATGTGAAACATCGACCATATCTTCAATTAGGGTAAAATCTTCGCACAAGTTGGGATATTTTGGATGATTTCAAAATCTGAGTAAAGTAATAGAATCTTCAACAGTGAAGGTGTAAACTGAATTTGACAATGACAGAAGTAGGAGGACCTTCAGCTTTCACAGCTAAGTGGACCTTTAGATTCTTTATTTATTTTTTGCTTTGGTTCGAATATGGCTATTAGGCTTTGTATTATTGTATTTGGCTATGAACTTTAAGGAATATTAAAATGGGTGTTGTCCAAGTAGTGATGAGTACATTGCTTTATTAAGTTAGGTAGACTGATGAAGATTATGCTTTTAATTTGACTTTATAGCTTTTTACTGCTGCAAATGATTGGTTGGTAGAGTAAATTTAGGTTTTATGCTCCATTTTGTGTTGTAGATGTGGAATCAGATTGGACAAGTGAGGAAGAAGAACAAACTAGGAGTGAGAGTGATGAGGATTTGGTTGAAGACCCAAATTTTGTAGACCTTACCTATGCACAAAGTGAGGAGGATGTGAGATTGTTGAGGGATGATGATAATCAGTTTCAAGGATACCTAGACCATGATGCAATTAATAGAGACCCTAATGTAGGTGAAGAGGATGAGAA